ATTTCTTTAAATATATGTATATCTCTTCTTTTTCCAGCTTTGTCATAATAAAAACTCGGATACCCATCGCATGATTAATTCTTTTTTTTATGCGTGTTACTAATGGCGAAACGCGAGAAATAAAAAACTTCCGTGAGCGTTCCAATCGAGATTTTCCCCGTTTCGCCGTTTAATAGCTAACGATAGCTCACACACCCGTCTGTCGACAAAGAGCGATTACGAAAAAACTCACTCGCGCGATATGAAACGCGATATGAAACGAATGTCGTACTGCGAGTGTCTCTCTTCTTGTTCTCGAGCAAACTGTTTGAAGATAATCGCGCGCGAGAAAATGGCGGGAAATGAGTAACAAAGGGCGAGTCTGTAACAATGAGCTCTCGCGCGATGTAGGTCGCTTACTTCGCGCTAGCCAACGCAAAACCGACGTCGGAAGCGGACATACGGCGTTAAGCACCATAAGTGTGGACCCCGTCGCTCCGGTTAACGATGTCTCATCCGGTTTAATCCCGCGACTTAGTTAACGGCGGAAGCATAATCGCCGAGGCGAGCGCGCGTTCTCTCTATCCGTCTTCTTATCCGTTTCCACTCGCCGAGAGATCCCCGTTGCGTTTGGCCATTACGAGCCTGTCACTTTCCTCGACCGCGTTAATGAGATTTCCCGCTTTAGAGCGCGCTCCTTAATCCGCGGATGTAAATTATCGCGTGTTGAAAAAGACGATCCGCGGAACGAATTGAAAAGACTTCGAATTTACAATTTTTCGGCCCCGAAATTTGCGCTACACACATTCGCCCTTTACTGTATTGAATTATTGAAAAGCAAAATAAATAATCTATATGTATATGTATATCTTGTAACAACAATCCTTGATATAATTGAAAAGAATATTTGAACTTTGTATATTAAAAATTAGAATTAAATTAAATTAAGCATAAAAAATAAATAGGAAGATTTTTTTAAATGCAATCCCGAACTGAAATTATGTATTATGAAATTATATATATGAGGTATTTTATATAAAGCAGATATATTAAAATCTTTTACAAATTCCACATTTCGAGCAAAAATATTTGCCTGATATTTTTTCAGGATGTTTTAATATTACAAATATGTACATAAAAGACGTATACATCGTCAGGCAATTTAATCGAATAATCCTCAGGAACGCGTCTTCGTGCATCGGAATAATCCGCGGCGCATTTTCTCGAGCGACATTAAACTTCTCTGGCGACGATTCTAATCTGCAGCGAACTTTTCATCGCTGTCGTCGGAAAAAGTCGCGACGCACATCTGGCATCTGGGATTTTATTTGCAACCCGGTTTTCTGCCTCCTTTTATCCGCGTAGCATCTTCGACTTAACTGCGCGCACGCGAAGCAACGCTCGTTCTCATTACTCTCGCGAGATAGAGTCGGGCAAGGCGCGTATGCCTCCCTGATTATATGTTTCTTTATCATTCACACGTCGCGGTGATGCGATCGAGGTGCGAAGAATGATCGGCGATCCCTGGGGTGCTATTCGCCATTCGAAGTCCTCTTTGTGTTGCCACATTGTAAATATTATCGATGCAGATCGCGAGAAAGATTTAAAATACGAGCAAGATGTGTTATTATAAAACCAATTAATAAATTATCTTTAAAATGAAATCGAAGGATTAACTGGATTATAAGAAAATATAATTAATAAAATGATATGGTATCTACATACGAAAAGATTAATTATACTTCTAATGTCAATAAAGGAAACCTTGATCGGACCATAATTAGAAATCCCGGTCGTGTTAAACGTAAGCTGCCATTTGATAACGCGCTTTCAACTCGCTGATAACGAGGTTTTCCTTCCTCGCAAGTACTCGTTTTACTTCGCCAAGTAGTGCGTGAATATTCTCTTTATTTTATCTTTTCGATAACAGAGTAGAAAGATTTTTCAAGTTTTTTTCAAGCAACGCTCAACTTTCAATCTCTGAGTTCACAGTCTCTAACTTGTCATTCTTAACTCGACTCATTCGATATTCACGAGTTTTCTCGATTTATCACTTGAGAATTAAAATTCTCAAAATATCCCATTTTTTATTCATGAGTTAAGACTCAGTTTACAAGATATTGCACATTTAGATGCAATTATAATTAACAATCAACAACGTATAAGCGTAGATTTAATCATCTATCAATCCCATCTCTCGTCGATATCCACTACGATTTGTTGCGCGATTTAGATTTCGCTACAGCACAGCATCACATTTAAGAAACCAGATGCATTTCTAAATGAAAACATCGTCTCGCTACTATGATAATAACAAAGTAAGAGCGCGAAAAGCTCGTAGTGAGAAATCTCTGACGCGAATGGCCGGTTCGGGCTATGTCGACGATGCTACTTACGTTTGCAACTCGTGCACATGCCGCAGATAGGTATCCCGATAAATCCGTTATCGCGATTCGCGATATACAATGTGCACCCCGAATGCCAGAAGACGCTCGACGAGGTACGAAGTAATCGAGCGATCGGATGCGGTCGTAAATTTCACGCGTAATCGGCGGACAAAGCGTAATATATGAGAAAGATAATTATTAATTGACGGTCGTAAGATTGTATTGATTTATAAATGCAATAATTTAAGTATCGAAAGAGTTTCAATTATATCACGTTCAAGAGAAAAAAGTCGAGCTTCTCAATCCTATGAATTAAAAAAATGATAAATGTCGAGTGGATTCAGTTTTTGTGTTAACTCGAGTCGAATTTTGAATTGAGAATGAAAAATTAAATGTTATACGCACTTGATAAATCGTTACTCATCGAAGACAAAGAGAAAACGAAGAATATTTGCACACTTTATTGCGAAATAAATCGAGCAATCGCGAAGAACCAAAACTCGTTATCAGCTCGTGTAAGTGTGACGAGCCGCTGCTTATCGGATCGCTACAAGGACGCAAGCCACTCGTCTGATAACGCACGAACCTCTCGTTATATTGCAAATTTAGCAAATGGAACTAACGCAAATAGAACCAACATTTTTCGCAGAAAAGGGGAAACGAGGAGAAATATTTGCAGTCTATTGTGATTTTTATGAGCCAAGAAGTGAGGAATTAATTCGCTTACGTCAATCATGATATGAAAAACTGACGAGAAAATATCGAGATACTTCAAGTATAAAGGAATTATATCTTTCGAATAATATGATGATTAATTCATTTGAAGATTAATTTGCTAGTAACTGGTTTTCTTGCGTGTGCTGTTCAAAATAGCGTGGTACTAACGGTTTAATTAGCTCTTTTAATTCCCCGCGTTAAACGGCGCGGCAGGCGGGCGATTAAATTTTCATTTAAAGCGCTGATTATGCACCCTTTCCGGAGCCACACGGCGCGTACAAATAAAAGATCAGGCCAAAACTCCGGTTCGGAAGAAACATGAAACACGAGGAAAAAAGCGTTCAATCGCGACCCACTTTTCCGTCGTAGGCGAGAGTGTAGCGGCTGTTATTAGGGGAGGAAGGAGGGTCGAAGCCTTAAGTTGAAGAACGAGGGGAGGCAAGGGTGGGAAACATGTTCTTGCCTACCCTTTTCGTCGGATCGTTAATTTCTTTCTCTCTCTGGTCCCTGATTAATCGCGGCCATGTAAACCGTTTCGATTTCAGGAAATCATCGTATTACACGACACGGATATACTGACCGATTAATTCCTGTTTTCCGAAAATTCTCTGGCAACGTGAATTCAATTTGCGAGACGCTACGTGCGCGGTAATCTCATTTCCATTGCGGTGTGCTTTCGTTGTAGCATTTCTCTATTTCACTTTATCCCGCCTGAATCAAAATCGACCTTTGATAAATCGACTCGATAAATTTGTGAGGAAGAAATGTATTAATAAAGAGTGATTTATTATAATTAAAGTAAAAGAATCATACAATCTTTTATTATAGTTATGTATTTTGGCCAAAAATATAGATCACCGTTTCTCAAATTATTGCGTTTAATTAACGTTTCTATAATTTATTCATTATTTATTAAATCGAGTAAATTTACCAAATCGAGATAGATATATATATAAATAGATGTAAACAAGATATAAACAAAATATATTATCGGAAATGAGAAATTTCCTCGCAGAGAGTTTCCAAGTTCGCACGAGAAGTTTTCAGAAAATGTCGACTCGAAAGGTGACGATGACATAAAAAGACACGGTAAGATAGTCATAAAAATGTACGGAGTGTTTCGTCTACGCGGGAGAAGAAAGAAAGTCTTCCAAACCGCCGCCGCAGGAAGGCAAGAAACCCACGACACGTGAGAAACTTGGAAACATCTTTATTAGCGGCGCCCACGTGTTGTCGGGATCTTCTTCGTCATCGCGTGTGTACTTTTCTTTTTTTTTTTTTGTTACAGGTATGCAACGATGATACAAAAAACATCCGTCGTTCACTTCCGCCTTGATAATTTTACTTGCGAGTTGCGAATTCTCGTGATATGTGTATCTCTTTTTGCGTGGATTAAAAAGCCGCTTATTTAAGAGTAAATAACAGAGACTATACGTTTGCTTGTGCGTAGTAAAAAAAAAAGAACAACAAAATATTCGGTAAAATAATCAACGCACTGAAAAATTGTAGCGCGCCGGGCGATTTAATTAAAAGCCCCCGTGAAAATCTGAAATAAATTTTGCGGTTTGCTATGTAACCGGCATATTTGCCGACACGTCCGTTGGTTCTTTTACTACTTTATTGTATATATGTGCGATTTGTTTTTTCTGATTAGATATTACAAGTGATTTAAACGTTGCAAAAATATTTAAAAAATCGCGTTCTTCGATGTGGGCTGAGAAAAAACTCTCAGTCATTCGAATGTATAATATAATTCGTGTGCCCGTGTTTCTATTATAAAATAAACATATTGTTTTGAACTAAAAATACTGTCTTTTACTCTTAATAAAATAAATAAAATTACTTAAAGAAACATTAAGTGGAAATAACAAAAGTAACGTAAGATTTTTAACATAGTTTTTAGTCCACTGTACTTACGCAGATAGTCTGCTGGCGGCATGTCTCTCGCGTTCTGTAACAGAAAAAATAAGAATAGCAATTAGTAAAATTAGTAGAGACTAATTATTGTCTGATTATTGAGGTTTAAGGACGGTACGCCGTTTTACGCTAAAATGAGTATTCAGTGAATTAGTTCTACAAAAAAATAATCATTTCATCTCCGAAGTACTTGTAATAATTTGTAAAAATTTTCTCTTTTGTTTACATGTATTTTTTATAAAAAAAAAAAAAGAATAACAGAGCTGAGCCACTATCTTGTATTGTTACATCTGTCCGTCGATTTAAAAAATTAATTAAAATATTAAATTCTCTCTCTCTTGAGAAAGATAATCAATAATCTCTAATACGTATTTATAAATTTTTTTATATAAACATAGAATTAATATAAGCACATGAGATTTTTAATCATCGTGACCTAAAATTTCGCGCAATTCAATAGTGTGAGAAGAAGCTAACGGTTAACATTCAAAAGCAAAAAGAAATTCAGGTAGGTATGTTACGAAGAAGCGGTTTGTTGCGCGTTCCACGCAACCAGTATCGATACATCGTCTTTCTGACGGGACCGTCTGCCATGTGCGAGATTGCCTTTAGAAATTCGATGACCTGCTTGCGACGACAGGAGAGGGAAAAGCAAAGGAAGTAACGATGAAAGGAAGAGGTGGAAGAAAGCCGCACACAGAATGCCGCGACCGGCATTGCGTAAACAATAGCGTACACGCAACGCACGAATGCATGTAGGCACGCACGTCATGGGAAAAGGGACTCTGGGTGCTCGAGCGAGTTTACGACGAACGAATGCGGGGCGAGCAGGGTGCGCGGGGGTTAAATTCGAAATAGAGGGCTGAAAAGCGCGCGCGCGCGGCCACACGGCCATTCTCGCCCGCCGTATTTTACCACTTGCGTCTAATGCGGAAGCGCGTGTGTGTGTGTGTGTGTGTGTGTGTGTGTGTGTGTGTGTGTGTGTGTGTGTGTGTGTGTGTGTGTGTGTGTGTGTGTGTGTGTGTGTGTGTGTGTGTGTGTGTGTGTGTGTGTGTGTGTGTGTGTGTGTGTGTGTGTGTGTGTGTGTGTGTGTGTGTGTGTGTGTGTGTGTGTGTGTGTGTGTGTGTGTGTGTGTGTGTGTGTGTGTGTGTGTGTGTGTGTGTGTGTGTGTGTGTGTGTGTGTGTGTGTGTGTGTGTGTGTGTGTGTGTGTGTGTGTGTGTGTGTGTGTGTGTGTGTGTGTGTGTGTGTGTGTGTGTGTGTGTGTGTGTGTGTGTGTGTGTGTGTGTGTGTGTGTGTGTGTGTGTGTGTGTGTGTGTGTGTGTGTGTGTGTGTGTGTGTGTGTGTGTGTGTGTGTGTGTGTGTGTGTGTGTGTGTGTGTGTGTGTGTGTGTGTGTGTGTGTGTGTGTGTGTGTGTGTGTGTGTGTGTGTGTGTGTGTGTGTGTGTGTGTGTGTGTGTGTGTGTGTGTGTGTGTGTGTGTGTGTGTGTGTGTGTGTGT